ATAAAGGAACTACAGCACGGTCACATGACTTCACGTTGTCTCCGCTAAGCTAAAGGCGGCTAATGTTGGGCTATAAAGGAACTACAGCACGGTCACATGACGTCAACGCTAAGCTAAAGGTGGCTAATGTTGGGCCATAAAGGAACTACAGCACGGTCACATGACTTCACGTCGTCTCCGCTAAGCTAAAGGCGGCTAATGTTGGGCTATAAAGGAACTACAGCACGGTCACATGACTTCACGTCGTCTCCGCTAAGCTAAAGGAGGCTAATGTTGGGCTATAAAGGAACTACAGCACGGTCACATGACTTCACGTCACCACCGCTGAGCTAAAGGAGGCTAAGATTGGCCGTGATGACGTTTAGTCGCCTCAATTAGACATTTTAAATTCACCAGTGGTGTATTTCATGACATATCTTTTTTTTTCGCAGTACAAAATATGCACACTGTGAAATCTCTCTCCGATTTCAATATGTGACAAATGTCCAGAGCCACAGACTTATTGTTTCCTGCAGCCATGCTCTCACAGTGAACTCTGCGTAACCTCCTGTGTTTACTGCATATGAGGATAGGATAGCTCCCCGTCTGTCAACAGCTCAAACACATACACAGTGTGTTCAGAATCAGAGGAATGTTTTTTTCTTTCTGACGAATGCCACTTCTTTGTCTCAGGCTCATTGAAAGGCTGTCATTGCAGAGATTGTCTCTTTGCATATCAAAGGCTTCTGGCAGGAGTTTCAGAGTCTTTTATGTGGTCGCTTGAATCTGAACGGCTCCCTCTCCGGTGTTTCTCTGTCCTCCCTTCCTCCCATCTTGTTAGTTTGATACAGTTTTCAGCATCACTGGTTTGAGGACAAGGTGGAATATTAGAGTATATGTTTCAGTCACACAGAGAGGAAAGAAGCAAGTTAGGGCTGCAAAATGAATCCAAATGTTATCAAATCACAGACTAGTGCAATATTCTAATCGAAGGAAGTACAATAAGCTGAATAACGTTGAAATAGCATTTTAAATGGAGCAGTGTAGTACTGTAGAGATATCCTAGCCTGCTAATCTTATTCTACAGACCTTACCCACATGGGATGAGAATAACGAGGCAAAAATAATCAATCCCTCCAATATTGTACTCGCAATATCAGTCAAAATAACAACAAATGAGAAACGGAAGAAATGTGGAAAAAGAAAAACAAGTTGTGTTTTATAGTTTTTGTTCAAATTTGCAAGAGTGTGTAAAGAAATGTACACGGTTTAAGTCCGGAGGAATCTTAAAAGCACTGTGAGGTGTGCGAAATGTGAATGAAATCCATGCTTTCGATAGGGCTGTCCCGAATACCATTTTTCGGGCTCCGGATATACGGTAGTAATCAGCAGCGAATATTCGGGGGGGGGCGTAGTAATCACCAGCGAACCGCTTCAACACGTGTATTTCGGTTTATTCACGGCATTCATTTTGTTATTCTGCAGTATTGTTGTTTTATAGTTATTTGTTAATGTATACAACCCAATTTGTGTTCTTTGAAATTGAAAAGGATATCACATTGTGTTACTTTTGTTGCAGTTGTATATGTGTTAAGTGTAATTTGGCTTGGCCTCCTGTTTATGGACATGCTTTTATTTTGAAGGAGCGGTAGCGCTGTTGACAGGAAGTTGTTGTTGCTATGGAAACAACGTGACGGAGATTAACGGAGAAAAGTAATATCTACATATAAAGACGGAGAAAGTCAACGATAACGTTTATGGTTAAGTGTTAGCACCCCCCGAAGAGGCACAAGCTCTTACGTTGATTTTGGAGATTTCAATAAATTCCAAACAGAAAAAAAAAAAANTTGATTTGTTAGTAACTGTACCATCTTTGATCTCATTTCTGTTTACCTGTCAGGTTGAGCTGCAACCTGTGTACGAAAACTAATTTGCGTATAAAGTCTATTATTTATTATTGTACTAATTACCGAAAGCTAGGGCTGTACCCGAATATCCGAATATTCGTTCGTTGGAGTATTATTCGGGTTTCAATTTCGTTATTCGGATATTCTTTTTTTTNCCGTTAATCTCCACGTTGTTTCCAAAGCAACAACAACTTCCTGTCAACTGCGCTACCTCTCCTTGAAAATAAAAGCATGTCCATAAATAGGAAGCCAAGGCTTGGCTTCCTATTTATGGACATGCTTTTATTTTCAAGGAGAGGTAGCGCAGTTGACAGGAAGTTGTTGTTGCTTTGGAAACAACGTGGAGATTAACGGAGAAAAGTAATATCTACATATAAAGACGGAGAAAGTCAACGATAACGTTTATGGTTAAGTGTTAGCACCCCCCGAAGAGGCACAAGCTCTTACGTTGATTTTGGAGATTTCAATAAATTCCAAACAGAAAAAAAAAAAAACGAATAACGAAATTGAAATCCGAATAGAGGTTGCAGCTCAACCTGAGAGGTAAACAGAAATGAGATCAAAGATGGTACAGTTACTAACAAATCAATCGATGAAGTGATGAAGCTAAACCTTTTTCCGTCCATCTCACAGAACAGCCGGCAAAAGGAGCTTTAAAATCTGCACGGAGAAGATGTTTTTGCTCGATAACAGAAACCATTTGGGAGTCATTTTCTCCCAAACAACGAAAATCTTTAGTCCATATCTAATGCTTTACAAAACTATACTGAAACATGATGAACATTTATGATTTACCATCCCTTTCTAAACTGAAGATGGTGATTGTTCTGGTCAACAACAATCCTGTTAATCAACAGTACAGTGACGTTACAGATGCATACTGACGTAGATGAACATTAACCATTAACATCTGGTGGCAGACGTGTAATGAAGCGCATCAGATGATCCGTCTTCGTCACACCAGGAAGCAGGGGACAGCTCTCTGATAACTGCCGTAAAAGCAGCATTTGTTATCTGCCGCCAACCATTAATCCTCCAATCATCCTGTTTTTTATCGTGAAGCACGCTGATTACGTTGAATAAAAGATATCATATCCTGTTCGTCTCTGCCTTTATGAGAACTCTCGTCTGTCGTTATCAGACGCAGAGGTTTGTTTGAAGGAGGTCTGAGTGGCTCTCTTCTTCTCTTCTCTTCACCTCGTTCATGCTTCACTGTGTGCCTGCTGGCTCCCATGATGCACTGCACTGTCACACTGCTTTCACCTCAAAAGGAGGTTACGTGTGTTTCCTCTGAAGACCCAGTTACTCAGTGTGTGTGTACGCTGTGAAAGACAAAAGGAAATGGGTCCATTTGGATATTTACTGACTGGATTTTGGTCTGTTTTGTTGCTGGGTTTTTAGACGTTTGCTTTCATGTCTATTGAAGAAAATCTGTTGAATGGTTAAAATAATAAAAGGTGGCTCAGCTGTTGAAGAGACTCAGCCTTAAGACTCTTTACCATTTAAAAGCCTAGGCTACAACACTGATGAATAATACCAAACAACATATTAGATCCAGTTCAGCTCCTGTGCTCCAAATGTAGGTTAATCACACCAAGTGTATTTTAGCTTCTATCATCAAATCAAAGAGAAATGGCTCCTTTCACTGAGATGAATACTGAATCAGTTCTGGGTCTAATGTTCTGATTGTAAGTCTTGCCAACATGTTCTTATTCCCAACTCGTCAAACACCGATGACTTGATCAGTGGCCCTACACTTTCAAATTGGACGGCCAAGAGACCCTCTTGCGTCAGTTTAACACGTGTCATGGATGGCTTCAGTTTCCGCCTGAGACTCTTTCAAAATAAAGTTCTAACATTGGTTTACTTACGCAATTAATACCTGGTTAAGCTAGTAAAACATTGTGGGTTTGGTTCAAATAAGTACGTTTGTTTACGTGAAATAACTGGCATTAGTTAAGTACAAAGGTTATGTAATTTGGGTTTAAAGTTGAGCCATTTCAAAGCTCGGTGCCTCTCATGCAGACTTTAAGGAGTTACCAAGCATCAGTGTTTTATACGTTAGCGATTAGACATGTTGTTCTTGATGGTGCACTAACAAAAAATGTGTTTTATCCACCAGTGCTGACATCGTAGCCCAACTAGTGTTAGACAGAGGTGGGAAGTAACTAAGTACATTTAATCAAGTACTGTACACTGTTGAGATACTTGTACTTTACTTGAGTAACATTTTGAATGCAGGACTTTTACTTATAACAGAGTATTCCTACACTCTGGTACTTCTACTGTTACTCACAAGATCTGAGTACTTCTACTTTTACTCAAGTACAAGATCAGATTACTTGTCCCACCTCTATTTGTTACTTTCCACCACTGAGTATTTTTACTATTTTATGTGTGTAAAGAAAGTTTTTTTTACTTTTACTTGAGTAACATTTTGAATGCAGGACTTTTACTTGGAACAGAGTATTCCTACACTCTGGTACTTCTACCCAAGTACAATATCTGAGTACTTATACTTTAACTCAAGTACAAGATCTGAGTACTTTCCACCACTGTGGAGTACAATTAAAATATTAACCTCTGAATTGTAGTGAGGTAGAAGTACAAAGTAGAAAATAAATACTCAAGTGAAGTACAAGTACTTCAACTTAATTATAATACTTGAACTACTTGGTTACTTTCCACCACTGCAAGTATTTTATCTGAGTATTTTACTGTGTTATGTGTGTTTTCAGCAAGTCACGTGACTGTAAAATCCACGCATGCGCACACAGCTTAACTGACCTCACGCATGCGCAAAGCCTTTTCTCTGTCAACATGGCGCTGTGCAGAGGAGCAGGGTTGTTGTTAAGGACATTGTTACCGGGAAACCCTCTCCTGTTCCCCGCTGCATGCCGAACACAGAGCTCTGTAAGCGGCGTGCTGGTGCCCCGGACCTCGCTGACCAGCCCCCCGTGGCCGGAGCAGCTGCCCCCGGTGTGTGAGGCGGAGGATGCGAGGCGACAGGCCGCCGTGGTGAGCACCGTGAACGGAAGCATCGAGAGGCAGGACTACGGGCGTCTGTTCGCGGTGGTGCACTTTGCCAGCCGACAGTGGAAGGTCACCGGAGAGGACCTGATCCTCATCGAGAACCACCTGGAGGCCGGCTGCGGGGAGACGATCCGCCTGGAGAAGGTGATACTACTTTTAGATTTGTTGCTAGTGATATTGCAATATGTTGTTAGATAGATATTGATAGATGTTAAACACTGTTAAACACCTCAACTTTTGAAAGAACATCCATAACATTCATCTGATTGCAACTTATATATATCAATATTCCAATTACTTGTATATAGACTATGCTGCACTATTTCTATTCTATTTTATTTGTATTTACTTGGACTATTATCTGTTTTATTGTGTTGCACTGTTGGAGGAGCCTGTGATCTAAGATGTATCATTGTCATAACTATGTGTACAAATGAGAATAAAAGCCTTGAAAAAAATAGATAACAATGTGTTCATTAAATAAAATACTTAAAACGTGGAAAAACCTTCTAAAATAAAATCGCGGTGAGGGGGGGGGAGAGAGTTCAGCCTCCTGACAGCCTGGTGGACGAAGCTGTTTTGTGATAATTCATGCTGATTCTGGTTCTGAAAGGTGCTGCTGGTGGGCGCAGAGGACTTCACCCTGGTGGGGAGGCCTCTTCTGGGGAGGGATCTGGTCCGGGTCGAGGCCACTGTCATCGAGAAGACCGAGTCCTGGCCCAAAGTGCACATGCGGTTCTGGAAGAGACACCGGTACCAGCGCAAGATGATCATCGTGCAGCCGCAGACGGTGCTGAGGATCAACAGCATCGAGCTGGCCCCCAGACTCTCATGATGATGGACTATTCCACACAGACTGGCTGCTTTCTATTCATATTAATATGCAAATAACTGTTAGTGAGTTGCTTTAATGCTGTGGCGAGGTGACTCTTCTGGCAGTTGTTGACTGTTTGAAACTGTAAATAAAGATTCATCTTTTTACTGATATTTAATTATTGTGTTTTTACTTTTCAAAAGTCAGTGGTGGAAGACATCAAGGCAATACCGAAGTGTGCAAGAACTCTATTACAAGTAGATTTTCTGCATAACCAGCGACCAAGATGTTTAATTTATTTAGCTTAAGTACGTATATTTTCTGAACAGGTCGTCATATTATATAAAAATGTATTCTGTATAAACTGTAAAGCCTGCTGTACCCCAATTTTTGGTACTTTGTACTTCTACTCCACTACAGTTCAGAGGTAGATGGTGCACTTTTACTCCACTACATGTATTTAATACGTTTAGTTACTTCACAGATGTGGATGAATGATGTGAAATATAATCAAGTGTTAAATCAGACTTTAGTTCCACCTGGAGTAAATCCACAAGCTACCCTGCAGTATACAAAGTCATTCAAACTAGCTGCTCCTTTACCACCTTTGAGAACACTTTAATGATCAATCATTATAAAACATATTATATATATTATTCTGAAATGGACCAATCTGCATAACAAATACTTGAGTAACGGATTATTCCTACTCTTGTACTTCTACCTTTACTCAAGCACACGATCTGAGAACTTCTTCCACCTTTGTCAAAATCAATCCATTGGAGAGCAATGTTTTTCACTGGAGAGTATAAAAAACACAAGCGCATTATTATATATAAGTTGCAGGAAATGAAGATACTGAAGTAAAGTAGGCTGCAAGTAGATCTAGGCCACACGTGTCAAACTTTATATATACAGTCCATGGTGTCAAATCAGGCCCTTGGTGGATTTAATTTCGGCCCGCAGAATAATTTCTAATTCCTATTAGATCTGTCCCTCTGGTATATTGCACGCACACCTTCACTCCATCCTGAGGGTCTCCTCAGCTCAGAGCCTGAGCCCAAACATTGATGACCTTGCCCCCGAGATGAGATGCCAAGTATCTGCTTGAACTAGCATCACAGAGCAGCACACTGAGTTTAATGGATGTTTCCTTCTGCACTTTATTTGTTGCGACAACAGGGCATGTTTTATTTTTTTTTTGTAGCTGTTGTTGGCCTGTGGAGAAATGTAGTCATAAGAAATGACTCTGGAAAAGCTGCAGATAGAGCCATAAGAAATGAATGCAACTAATTATTTAATGTTGCTTTTATAGGCAATCATTTAAGCTTTGTTAGTTCCAGGTTTAATATGTGCAATAAGTTCATTTCAATACGTTTTGCTATAAACATTGAACCAGTCCGGCCCTCGACTTGTACCCATTTTTTTATTTTGGCCCACTGTGTATTTGAGTTCCCTGATCTAGGCTAACTAATTTGTAACACGGTGACTTTAGACTGGGTTTAAATCTGTAAATGGAAAGTAATCGTTTGCAGATGAATGCTATAAAATTATTCTGAATCTGTTGTTTTTAAGTGCTAAAAGTTATATTAAGTCACATAAGTAATAACACATGTATTAATAATCTGAATTAACTTTATAAAAATCACCTTTCTCTCAGAATGACCCACTTCAGTGCTCAGTAAGGAAGTGAAGAGCATTTTCCCCAAACCTCCGACAAAGATAAGAAACAACACACGTTTTAACAGTCAGAAGTAAAACTGCTTTATTTAGAAACCTGATTGAATCGTCTCTGCAGAAGACGTTCCTCGTGAAGGCACTGTTGAACATTTCTGCTCAGTGGTAGCACGTTTACCGCTAACTCCAAAAACGCAGGAGGAGATGTTTAAAAAACCAGGAGTTTGTCCAACAGGCGGGGAACAAATAATCAAAAATAAAATCGAGTGATTAGAACAAAATGAAATGCTGCTACTGATGTCAACAGGTTGGTAGAAATATCTTCACAGGTTCCCATTAGAGTCTAAATTAAGGAAATAATCACGTTAACAGTAAATCATGACGGCTTCTTTACCTTCAATCACTTTCAGGACTTTTTTTATGTCCAATAGAGGATCTAACATTTATCCCAAAGAAAATGAGTGTACCTAACTTTTAAAAAGCATTCTCATCCTTTGAGAGGTTGATATGACGAGTTAAGACAAGATGTGGTGAATCTGCCAGGCCCGAGTTACTCTGCTTATCACCAAGCATACAGACTTTAAACTGGTCTCACTGCTAATCAAGTAAGTACGTTTGATTTCAAGTGAAGTAATTAAAACGCCAGAATTCTCGCGGACGTGTTTTCATCTTAAGAAAATAATTTTATCAAAGGTCGACTGAAGCCAAAACAAAAATCTGAGTCTCCTCGTGTAAAAGCAGCACTGAAGGAAACTATTTCTCAAAACAAAATCTCCAGTATAATCTTCAGAAGTCCGATTAGAATTGTCCAAAAGATCGACTCCTCTTCCACAAAGTCGTCGACGTCCTCCTGCTCCTCCTCGGCCTCGGGGGATTTCTGTTTCTGTTGTCCGTTCTCCGCGGTGTAAGAGCCCTTATCGAACGGATCCAAGGGAACCGTTTGATCGTAAAACACTCGCATTTCAAACTCGCTCTCCTTGTGGCTCGGGTGTCCGTAGATCCCGATGCCCACGGGCCTGGAGAGGTCCCCCGGCACCACCACCACGTCGGGCCCACAGGTGACCGACTGCAGCTTGTACGTGTCGTAGCTGGGACGCAGCGTTTTGTCCGAAACGTAGAGGTCCGCGTCGCCCTTGAGGCTCTGCATGTGGAGGATGATTCTGCCATCGTGGTTGAGGCGCAGGTAGCTGTAGTTCCCCGCCCCGATGTGGCCCTGGACCACGTGGAGCAGCACCCAGTGTTCAGGGAGGCCCTCGTCGTCTGAGGGGGAGCTGAAGAAGCCTTGAGCCTGGGACAGAGAGAAGGAAACAAGCAGGAGGAAGAGGAAGAAGCTGCTGCTCAGCTTCATGATGACGGCATCCGGCAGACAGTCACCGCCTGGCAACACCAGACAGCCTGAGAGCCAGAGGAGAGACAAACGCAATAATACATTCATTATATATGTTCTTGTAATACTTGCACAGTTTTCCACTTTTCATAACAATACTGCACATATTTAAATTTGTTTTTTTTCTTATCATACTGTTCGTAGTTTTTTTGTACCTATATTTCATGTAAATATTTCTCTATATTTTAATGTTATAATAGTAACATTCAAATGACTAACCCTAACCCTATATACTGCACATATTTCATTTTTCTAATTTTGTTTTATTATACCGTTTGTAGTTTTTCGGTACCTATATTTAATGTACATATTTCTCTATATTTTAATGTTATAATAGTTTTATTTTTTGGTCCTTTTCTTACATTCTATCTTTGTTGACTGTTTATCTACAGGCTTATTTCTCGTAAGCTTGAACCTGCTTATCAATAAACCTGTTTCTGATTTCTGAAAAGGCAGCCAAACACATTTTATATGATATAACATTTAAAAACAGCATGGGTTCAACTTGTGCTTTTCCCAACTGATCAGTCTTTTGATACATTTTAGTGACTTTCCCACTTTGAATTATTGTTGCCACTTCTGTAGCAAAAAATAACCTGTTTTCTAACCGTTGTGTGCACCAGTCAATCAAATACAGACTTTGATCCCAGATTTTTTTTAAAGTACATTTAAGGGTCTTGATGTACATTTCTGATCATATTTGACTTATTTTCAATTAAGTACATTTAAGTATGTTTTGAATAGAGGACTTTAACTTACAGTGGAGTTTTTTTAGTGTTATTATTAGTACTTTAACTTATGTAAATGTTTAAAATACTACCACTGCCTAACATATAAAGAAGAATAAACCTAAAAACACCCAAGTAAGGAACAAACCATCAATATTGTACTTAATGGGGGAAGTAACGAAGTAAATTACTTTAGTACTGTAAGTGAGTTTCTTTTGGAGTACTTGTACCCTACTTAAGTATTTCTATTCGAGGCTTTTTGATATTTCCACTACATTTCTAATGCAGATATGACTTTTACTCCCCTAATAGTTATACTATCAAATGCACGCTGGAGGCTTTTTGAGCAGGTTTTCTCTCAGTGATCGTGTTATGTTCAATGTTTGTTGTCTGTTTGTCATGTATTGTGTCTTGATATTTGTCTGTCGATGTTACACATGGATTCAAATTTCAGACTTGATCTGACCATTGAAGTGTTATTGTATACACTGAGGGATAATTTTACTGCACAACAAATAGCTTGACCTTTCTACAATACAATAATACATGTTGCTGATAAAACTAACAGGCTTTAAGAAAGGTTTTGAATGCAGGACTTTTACTTAGTGGAGCGTTTTCTGAGTGTGGTATAAGTACAAAAATATCTAAATACTTCTGCAAACACTGTGTGATTTTGGTTACTGCTTCTATATAAATATATGATATGTTTTATAATAATTGATCATTAAAGTGTTCTCAAAGCTGGTAAAGGTGCAGCTAGTTTGAATGACTTTGTATACTGCAGGGTAGCTTGTGGATTTACTCCAGGTGGAACTAAAGTCTGATTTAACACTTGGTTATATTTCACATCATTCATCCACATCTGTAAAGTAACTAAAGGTATTAAAGACATGAAGTGGAGTAAAAAGTATCGAAAAAAATTGAAATACTCAGGAAAAGTACACGTTTTTAAAGTGTACTTAAGAACAGTACTTGAACAAATCCACTAAATGAGTTTACACCAGTGCCGTTATAAAGTAAAACATAATTAACCCAAGCTGCGGATGCCCTCCCTCTCAGGACAGTTTAAAATAAACCTCTGACCCGCAGCAGAGCTAAAAATAATCTGCTCGGTGCTAAATCTACCGGTGAGACCGACCTTTGATACGAGGGGGAAACAACACATTTCATGTTAAAACACAGTATTAGCTTTAAATTATCAGCCCCAACACTTTCAAACCAGACATGTGATATAAAAACGGGTTTAGTTTGTATTGTAACGCAGTTAGTGTCGATTAATGCTAACATGCTAACACCTGCCATCAGCATAAACCTGAACCCAAACCAGGAAGTGCGCCGGCCGTTGAAGCCGGTTTTTATGAATGGGCGTAGCGGCCAAACGGTGGT